TGTCTCCTGCCCTTGCTAAAGTTGAATTGCTACTGGGGACAGGGTCTCATGCAGAGACCGAACCAATTTTAGACTGCCATGAGAAATTATTTGATAAGCCTTTCCCATCGACTTCTCACCATGCAATCAGACCGGAGCCGGCGACGCAATGTCCACTTCTATAACGCGTCCAACGGACAACGCCTAGGAGGTTTCTATCAAGCCAGTTCCCTAACGGAAGCGAATCCGCTCTGGATTCTGGGGAATTTGCTCATTGTCGACCCTTTCACAAGAAGGCATAGAGCGGAGACTCCAAAAGCGCAGCTCCGCGGGATACCTAGCAAAGCGGACACTTCATTTGACATCGAAGACCTTCAGGAGGGCCTGGAAGGTCTTCAAGAACGAATTGATCAAGCTTATGCGCACTTCCTGACTCTATAGAAAGGGTATCATGAAGATAGTTCGAGAAAGCGAAAGACCCACTAATTCCAGACTTCCAACCATCAGCTACCACAGCCGAAAGAGATCGAACTTTGAGACTGTGAGGAAATACATCGCGACATTCCCTTGGTGCTCTTTTTATCTCTTAACATATTCTAGACCAGCAGAAATGCTACGGATCTCTGCAGGGCTTGGATAAAGCAGCCTCTATCCTGCTCAATCTCGTAAAGCGTTGGGGAGGCGGGGAGGCGCCGTTGCTGCAATACGATGCTGAGGGAAAAGAGCCGCCAACGAAGGCGGCTTCGGCTTTCTTGCGGAGTGCGTGCAGAGATGGCAAAGATGAACGACAAGATCCAGAAACTGAATCTCATCACCAGAGCCATCTGGAACTCCGACAAAGGGCCGTTCCCACATGGTGCAAGATGCGTTTGACAAAGACACAGAACGCCAGCAGGAGGAAATCGGCAGACTGAACGGAGATCATACACGGTGGTGAGGTGCGATCCGATGCTATGGTAGTCACTGAGCGCTACAGGAAAAGCAGCACCGAGTGGCAAAGTTTCCGTACTCTATATGGCCTCACCCCGGACAATGTGAATGATGTCGGTATTGTCTACAAACACCGATCTCAGTACCACTTGCTCGGTTCAGAACTGCTCCAATCCCTGCTTTGCTCTAGCAACCTCGTATCTATCAGCTAGCTTCTTGGGTTTTGATGGGTGATCCAAGGCCCTGCACACCATGTTTGCACAGGACCCCTGGCAGATCGACGGAAGAGTCCTTGAACTGGTCCGCCGGAAACCGGACGACCCAAATCATGTCTCAGATGACCTTCTGAGATGGCATTTTCGGCAAAGCGACTGAAACATGGACCATGGGTCTCAATGCAGGAGGAAGCTCAAATTGTGGCGCTCCTGAAGGACAAGAAGCCACCAGAGGGAGAGTAAGGGGGACTCACTAACATGCGAGGGTCCTGAGAGCCAATATTCGAGACAGATTGTCCCCCTGGAACAGACAAATGGCGACGTTACGAAATAAACCGTACGGCAAGAAGATATTTGAGATGGAGCTTGAACTCAGACTTGGATCCATGGCCAGGGAAGAAGAGTATAATTTGTAGTGACCACAATGACCACAACTTGCGCCGGATGCTTGATATTGAATTTGTCTACACAGCCCCTGCCGAGCATAACTCTTTCCTAAGTATGAATAGTATGAATCCATTCGATATCAAAGCTAGCCGAATGAATAAGGATGAGGACTCGCAGACATGAGATCTACAATGTAAAACAACACCATAAAATGCAATGCAGCGAAGTCATAGTAATAGGCAAAACCACGTTCAACAGCCCATTCCATTCCACTTCTCAATCATTCACATTGAAAAGAAAACCACCTCCTCAATACTTCCCCCGACTCATAACCAACCCAACAACACCATCAACAACCTTAACACCCTCAACCTCCGCCTCAAAAATGCCAGTATCCCCACCAGATCCAACCTCAACCCACCGCTGCAGCAAATCATTACTCTCCTTCGGCTTGACTTCCGGCGCCGCCGTGCCAACCGTGATATGCGGAATAGGATTCGCGCATGGCCACTCAGCCGCACCAGTCTGTGTCTCGACACCCTCAGTGGGCAAGATGCGCGCAACAAAGGCCATGATGCGGTTATCCCAGACGAGACGCTCAATGCGCACGCGCGCGGAGCCTAGGGTCGGCGGGTACTGGATTGGATTTGAGACCGGGTTTTGGGTCTGCGTGTCGATATAGCGGGTTGCTAGTTTTTCCCAGATCTCTGGTTTGTCTTTCTTCGAGGCGCGGTGGATGAGGGTTACGTGGAAGGTTGGTTGGAGGCGGCGGGAGTTTACGAGTTGGTTGTAGAGACGGGCTTTTTCGGGGGGTGTGGTCGGTGGGAAGAGGGAGCGGAGGAGTGTGTTTATTTCAGTTGTTGGGATGGATATGTTGAAGTACTCGATCTTTTCGGAGAGTGCTTCTGGGGACAAGGGGGAGTCTGTTGGTTCGGGGAGGAGGGAGCCATTGTTGTGGTTTTTGTTTTTGTTCTTTGGCTTCTGTGAAGCGCCGTAGCTGTAGCTCAGATCCTTTGTCACGGTGTAGTCGTTTAGAGAGGCGTCGATAGCTCCGTCGAGTTCTGCTGCAGTTGGCATGGTTGGCACTAGGCGGGGGTAGGCGGCGTGTAGGGCTTTGACGACTGTTTCGAGGTTCTCGCGAGACTCGGCGCAGACGTCGAGGTCAATGACATGGTCGAAGCTCTGGTCTGGCATGCGGGTGGTGTCGACGCCTTCGAAGCGGCCGAGGAATCCCTCCATGATTCCGACGGTCTCATCCCGAGCGTTGGTGCCAGCCCGGATGGATTGATGGTTGTCGCCACGTTCTAGCACGCGCTTTCGAGTGACTTCTCGAATGGCGGGGAGCATGTCTGCCTTGGGTTCGTGGACATAATGCAAAGCGACGAAATGCGCATCTGGAAGCACAGGGTAGATATCCTCCATGAGCTGCTTGCGTTCGCGCCGTTGGTGGTTGTTGCGATCGGCGATGACAACACTGTGCTCTCCCAGAGCATGGCTGACCTCGAAAGCAAACTTCTTCGGCTTGTTCTTCTGTTTGGGGATGTTGTCGTTCTGAATATGTCCCCATCCGAAGAGTTTAACCAGAGCCAAGGCGACTGTCGTCTTTCCACATCCCAGCGAGGCAATCGGTTCGAGGACGACATTTTTGTTGGTCTCCTGCGATTCACTCTGCTTTTTTTCCTCTAGAGCAATAATCTCGGGCCCATTCAATCCTCGTTCCCTGAGGAACTCATCTCGCAAACCGATGATACCGTGGTTATTCATGTAATCGGTTGCCCTCTTAGGGTCCTTCATCAGAACCCGTCTCGCAAACTGCAAATACTCTTCGGTGACTTGCTCATGCTTCTTGATCTTGGGAGATTTCCCTCCGATAACGGCTTTGGTGCATTCACGCCACTGGCGGTACATCAAGTACGGCTCTTCGAACTTGTACTTGAAGAACCAATTCCGGTAGGGCTCAGTTCCGTTGTCGCTCAGGTTGCATCGGATGACGAAGCCCTCGGTCTCACGTCCAGCCCATGTCCCTGTCTCGGCGCATCCTTCTAGGAAGCTCTGCACTCTGAAGATGTCATCAAAGACCTCAAACTTGGCCTTCTTGAAACCCCAATCGTCCGCGAACTTGTGCACATCCTCAGAAGACATCGTATGAAAGTAAGGCTGCTTGTAGTTGAGTCCGTGGAGGTAAATGCCGGCAGAAGCTTCGTCGTATGCCAGCACATGCTCCTCGAAACTGTCGTCACAGAGTTCTCCAACGGCTGTGACATTCATCTCACGCAAAGTGCGGGCAAGGTCCTTGACAGACCGATTCACGGACGAGACGTGGCGTTCCACCCAGCGTTCTCCTGCCTGTGCGTGGCTGACATCTGTATCCTCGCGAGCTCCAGTCGAGTGTTTGCTGCAGACTAGCAATGTGTCGTCCTCCAAAGCAGAGATGAAGATAATGCATCCATTCTCCTTCACACTCAGCTCATAAGGACCCCTTGTATATTTCTCGACGTTGCGCCACTCTGTCGCCTTTGTCTCGCCTACATTGAAGAACTTGTCGTATCCGCGCGCCGCGATTTCGGGCGTACCATCCTTCCGTTTGGTTGTGAAAAGACCTCGTGCATATGTTGGCAGACCGTCACGCTTGTAGTCCCAGTCCTGGAACCTCCACGAGTCCACGGGTACATTATTGGCCACCGTAAAGGACTGCTTTTTGCAAGTGAACTTTCTCTCGCCCTTTTCGGCCTTTCTGGAAGTCTCCAGGGCCTTCACCAGCTGGGAGATGACGTGTGGATCTTGAGCCGCCATGTCTTGTGTGTTGGGTATATCAAAGTGGGAGCTCTGCGGGAGATGACGGAGAGGAGGGGCAGATGAGAGGCGAAAGAGCGGGATATTTTCCCGGAGCTCCTGCCTGAGGTATTCTAGGGGTATTTTTTTTTTTAAAGAGGAAACTGAAGCAAAATCAAGAAAAAGGAAAGGAAATGTGGACAAAGACACAAAAGATCAAAGACGAGGAGAGTCAGACCAAATCCAAATGTGTCACAGTGCGGGGAGCCAAAAGGGAAAGGCGGATATTTTTTTTGCTTAGGTGACTTTCTTTAACAACCACAAACGACCTTTGACTCACTTGATTTACGAGTCTCAACTATTTGAATTAATACCCTTGACTCATAATGGCCCAAAATCCTTACCTCCTAGCCTGCGACAACCCAAAGGCCCTTCTGGACCTGCTGCGGTCCAACCCCGCGATCGCATCGAGCCAAGATGAGTCCGGCTACTCATTGCTGCACGCCGCAGCCTCCTACGGCCATGCCGATCTCCTACGCGCTCTAGTGAAAGAATTCAATGTCGATGTCAACCTTCTCGACGAAGATGGCGAGACATGTCTATTTGTGGTCGAGGATAGCGACATCGCGCGTTGTTTGGTTGAGGAACTGGGTGTAGACGTCAATAAGAAGAACGCCGAAGACTTCACAGCTGTGGAAAAGTTTGAGACCGAGAATGAGTTCCCGCAGGTTGCTGCCTACCTCCGCGAAGTCGTCGGGGGTGCTCCTGCTCCAACACACGCACAAGCCGCCGAAGTTTTGAATTCTCCCGGACCCATCCCTGGCAGCGATATGAGGATTAATGTTGGCACAATGACGGAGGAAGAGGCCACTGCTGGTGGCGAGCCGGACCCAGAGTTCAAGAGGCGCATTGAGGAGCTTGCTACCCGTGAGGATTATTACAGCGAGGAGGTGCAAAATGAGGTGCGCGAGTTGGTCAAGGATGCCATGGCTGGCTCGAATATTGAAGCTATGGAGCGGGAGATTCGGAGGAGAACCGAATAAGCAGGTGAACTGCGACTGTTAAACCAATTCCACTGTCATGCAGAGTTCTGTCTGTACATGAGACCACCGTCGCATTTGAAGATGCGAATCACTGGGAGAAATTCATCCAAGCATTTTCAGTCAGAGTCCCGAAGTCGCTGCTGTTGTATAGAGCGCGGACGGGTAATCTACCATTGCCTTGGGAATCTCTTGTCTGGCTTGAAGTTCTGATTCTCGCTTTTGGAGTGCCCGTCGGGGTGTCCGAGTGGCTCGCAGGCCCGAAGAGAAGCTTCTATACAACCTTGTAACTAGGATTAAATCACGAAATATCACGATATATCCAAACAATTTATAGTAAAATATACATACTTAGCTATTCCCTGGTTAGAGATCATACTATCATATCATGATGCAACTGCGTAGATAACTGGTCTAAGTGCCCGCCAAGCTCGAGCCCGTCCCGCATCTCCGACGTAACAGCATAGACACCACCTGCAAGACCCCCCAATAGCCATATCATGTCTCAACCACCCTCTCCATTCCCCCCGCAATCGCAGTTCCACTCGTCCCAAATCATGAACCCTGCTAACCCCGAGACACCTCCTCCACCACCCCCAAAACCCAACAGCCACGAAACCAGTCGACGCGGCACCCCGCAAAACACCTCTGCACACGCCTGGCAACCAGACAATCAGCCAAGCGCACACCAGGGCACATACCCCAATAATCCTCAACAGCCATATATCCCTGACCCCCCAACAATTGAAGAGGGTTGGCTCCCAGACCTGGTATCCGACAAATCGTGGGTCCCATCAAATCCCCCAAATCAATGACAACACCACCTCTAACTCACGCAACCAGAACAACCGACCTCCAGATAATCCTCAAAGACCCAGCCCTAATCTCCGCCCTCTCAAGCCAACACCCCTCCTACACAGCCCGCCAACAACATCTCGAGACCCTAATCAAAACGAACAAAGACCTCGCAACCCGCATCCTAGAGATGCAGAACCACCTCGCCGAAGTCCGGGCCTCCACTGAAACAATGCTGATCACACACCAGTCGCTTGAGGTCTCCTGGCGCAAAAAGCAAGCCGAGATGGACGCCGCCCTAGCCCCGTGGTCGCCGAAGGCGCTATACCAGCGCTTTAGCGCGGCGATCACGGAGCAGGAGGCTGTCTGCCATGCTGTTGAGGAGAGTTTCCTCGATGAGGATCATCATGGCCGGGCTACGGAGAAGGAGATTGCAGATTGGGTGCGGCGCGTACGGGCCGAGGCATCTAAGTTGGCGGCTCGGAAGGAGGCTAAGGCACGGTGGGATGAGGGACGGGTTGGGGGTTGGCGATGAGGTCTAGAAGCAACCTCAAAATACCAAGTCACCACCAGACTGCCATTTACGATACCATGCTGCCTCCGATCCGATCTATGCACTATATAATACACTCGACATTATATGTCCTGCTTCATCCGAATCGCGCTCAAACCAATCAAAGAAATCCGTCACTCATTTATATCTCAAGCCTAAACAGCCTGACCCTCGGTACTCTCTGGCTTAATATGTCCCTGTGTCTGTGCATGTCCCTGTCCTTGACCCCTAAACGCCATCTCCCGCACCGCAGCCGCACCCTCAACATCCACATCCAAACCCCTCTCTCCGGCCCACCCATCCGTACCCAGCGAACTAGGGAACCCAACCCCACGCCCAAAAGCGCGCCTCTGACTGCGCGCGCCCCAAGCCCAGCCCGCACCGCGCCGAATCGGGAGATGGTACATATTAAACCCGATATACGCGAAGAAAATCCCGATCGCCGCCCCGAAGAGAATATCAAACCCATGGTGTCTGTAATCGAACCAGCGCGAGGCAGAAATAAAGCACGCCGTGGCAGTCGGCACGAAAGCAATCAGCATCAGGTACACGGGCGGCGCGGCGCCGCGTTTCCGCACGGATGAATTGTCGTCGGTGTGGGTTTGGTCTTCGATCGGGTAGCGAGGGAGATAGGGGAATGCGACGGAGAATTTGGAGCAGAGCCAGAGGGTTAGGTAGATTAGGCCGGCGAAGGAGACTGGAATGTGTTAGCTGTCGAATCCATATGGATATACGGGAGTAATGTCATAATGGTGTTTTGTATCACTCGGAAGACAGAATTGACAGACACGCCCGTATGATATGTACGATGTAGACTTACAAGAAGAATGCCCACTCGGGAAACTCGCAAATCCATCAATGCGCAACGAGTCACTCCTGTCCCGACAAATCTCCCATGAAACCAACGTCGCCGCACCACGCACCGACTCCCCAAGCCCGCCAACCGTGAACTCCGCCACGCGCGCTACGTCTGGATCGCAGCGCGCGAGAAGATCAGGTCGCGGTTTGCCGATTAAGACCTTCAGTCCCTGTGTGGCTGTCCAGGCGCTTGCGAGGGTCAACGCGAGACCCATCCAGCCGACGTTCCATTCCCAGAATTTGCGACGGATGTATTGCGCTGCGTGGGGTTTGGGGGAGCCGGAGTTAGAGGTGGTGGAGGAGGTGGCGTTGGCTGGGACGAGAAGCCATGAGAGTAGGAAGATTATAACGGCTGGGGCGAAGAGGCTGACTAGTATTAGGGTTTCGGTTGTTACGGTTTCTTTGGTGAGGGGGTAGCTGATTGTTGGGTCGGTTAGGCTGAAGGGGTGGTGGTTTGGGGATTGCTCGTAGAATCCGTAGCCGATTAGGGCGATGCCGCTGGTTGGGATTGTTAGTTAGGTTGTTCGGATGGGGGGTTTCACGTACATGATGAATATCCAGTCGATTACATAGGATAGTACTAGGAGCTTGGAGATGGCTGCGAGGCGCGTGACCGTCTCCTTGACGGGGATGGGCATAGTGTGGTGCAATTAGGAATGAGAGAATGATGGAATTGAAACCAAAGACAGAAATGAGAATGTTAATGTTAAGATTAATGTTAAGGACTCCGAATGTACAATGACGTGAAGTTCAGGAGACAAGTTGCCTCCGAGGCTGCCCAGGTACCTAGGTAGCTATACGTACTTGATTTCCTCTGCCAGGTGGGGCTTTCCTATCTTAGCTGCCGCCGCTTTTATGAGGGCGCTCAGAGTCAGGCTCACTAAGTAGATTTCAGTCCGGGCTCAGACTTAGTGAGCTCCTCAGGCTAATCACGTGATAAATCAGTAAGGTCCAATGAAGGCTTAGTAGCGCTCACTAAGTCTGATTAGATACTCACTAACTAATCGCTCACTGATTACTCAGAGACTGCTCTCGGAGGCATCTATTAAGCACTCAGTCTACGCTTAGACTATACCTAAAGAAGCACTTTACCCTATAATACTATTTACTTTACGACCACTTTTTGATAGCCCTTAATTTTCACTATACTCCTATTTCTAAAGGTGCATAATCTTCTAGTTATGTTCCTATAAAGAAATACTAGTTATTAGGCTAGTGTTACGCACTACAAACTGGTCACAGTTAGGGCTAGTAGACCACGGGTTATACTCACCGGGGATCTCTAATCTTCTAACGTCAACGATCTGTCTCTCAACCGTACTATTGCCAATAGGCCTTACTACAGGTTAGGTCCTTTTGAGGGTATCGAGGAACGATGCTAGGTAGAGCGCTCAATTGATCTATACCTAGACCTTGACATTTCCCATGGGAGTCCCACCATGGGCATGCCCATGGGCTACTGGGAATTCCCATGGGACTACAAACAATGCAAACAGGGAGAAACTCGTGACTTGCATAATTGTACGGCTTTATGCTGGTTTTTTTAGGTATTGGTTCAGTGCGTATGGCGATGTCTAGGCGACACCAAACGCC